ACCAGAAAAGGGGCTTGGCAAAGCAGGGACGAACCTGGAGCTGCCTCTAGCAGCCTTCCCTGCCTGTCCCCTGCCTGTCCCTGCCTGTCCCCTGCCTGTCCCTGCCTGTCCCTTGCCTGCTCCCAGTCCGCAGGGGTAGCAGCTTATCATGCAGTATTGTCGTTGCTTGAAATGAAGGGATGGGACTACGATGGTTCTAAGGTTGATTTATTGTTTCAAAATGCATCAGACTCGAGGTAGTGAGATTTAGAGATGCAAGAAATCAGCCACAGCCAAAGTGGTCATGGGTTTCTTCATTACAAGGCCATATATAACATTCTAATCCAATTGAGAGTTGCTACGAAGTTTGTTTTCTTTTCCTGACCTATCACCTTAACTTTTACCTCACTACATGTACTTTCATCCAATAAGCTATTGCCACACACACACACACATGTATGCATCTATTATGCTTCTCTTATAACACTCAAACTCCTAGCCTACCCTATACAATTCCATTACTACATTAGAAAATTCTTTACCATTTTATCTAATACAGTTTCTTACTTCCTTAAGGCATATTCTTACTTACAACTATAGAAACATAAGCCTATAATTTTTCTGCTTAATGTCTGTGTACTTCTATTTTTACATCAATCCAAGCTCTTTCCAAGGCTGCAAACCTTGCAAAGCCTTCAGTGTCTGTGGAAGTTTCTACCTTTCCGTTTCCCACAGCACAGCCCTGGAATTCTCCGCCTCAAACAGGAGCTTCATCCTTCAGGATTTCAACTCCCCCCAGGGCACCTTTGTCAGGAACTGCCAGGTGCAAAACGCGGCCGTCAGGGTGAGGCCGGGGGATGTGCTGGGGATGCCCAGGTAGGGGTGGGGATGCTCAGGGAAAGGTGGGTGGGGATGCTCAGGTAAGGATGGGGGTGCTCAGGGAAAGGTGTGGATGCTCAGGTAAGGATGGGGATGCTCAGGGGAAGGTGTGGATGCTCAGGTAAGGATGGGGATGCTCAGGGGAAGGTGGGTGGGTTCTGCTGCCCAGGGAAGGGTAGTTGAGGATGTCCAGGGAATGGTACCCATGAGAGGTTGGTGGATGTTGCTGCCCAGGGAAGGCTCCAGAAGCAGGAGCTCGCTCCCAGCTCCTCTGGGCAATCCTCGGGAATGGCGAAGTGGGGGCAAAGGAAAAGCTGGAGCTCCCTCTGCTGAAGAGACTCGGGCAGGTCTGTATTGGCCTCTCTGACATCAAATCCTGTCAGGGAACCTCACCATCCACCTTCAAATCAAGTACAAAGCATGGAACTGTTTTCATTTATTTAGGGGAAATATTTGTATTTATTTAGGTAGTGCCCAAAATCCTGGGGTAGAAGCCACCTTTAAATCTTTTTTTTTTTTTTTTAATCTCCCCAAGATTTCTTGTGAAGCACTTGTAATTTGTTCTGATACCATTCCCTATTTCAGAAAATAAAACTTGTTGCTTTTTGAAATAAAAGTTGGTATAAATACGTCATTAAAAGCTACTGAACTGCCAGTTTCAATTAATCAAAAATTGTTATGTAGCAGAAACTCACCTTAGCTACTTATTCTAAATCTCAGTGCAGCCAATTTGGTAAGGAACAGAGCTTTGGCAAGGATATCTTTTCCATATCTCCACAGTTTTTCATATAAGGTAATGTATACATAGACAAGCAGCCAATTGCACCTTCAGCTTTTAAAATTTATTTTCTACTTCCTCTTTCTTCTGAGCAGCACGTTTGTCCACATCTGGGATGTTAGAACGTTCTTTTGCTTCTTGTGCCTCTTTCTGCCATGCATCACATGCTTGGGAGAAAGATTTCCAGAATACAATAATTATTTTAATTAACAACAGGAAAGCAAATTCAAAGGCTTTAAAGATGCAGGTAATCTCTAATTTAGTCGTAACAATGCATTTACTGTCAATTTAAAGCTTGCCCCTACTTATCCTACCTTCTAATTAGCAACTCTTCTTGTTTGCCTTAATATAATTTTTAGGAATGTCACTGTTACTTCTCTGAAGTCAGAAGCCTTTTTGGAGTTCTAGAAATAGATTGCATTTTAAATGTTACGTTCATAATTTAATGCCAAGAGACATCAAAAATGATCAGAATTTAGAACAGCTACCTGGCTGCTCTTGTCACAGAGAGAACAACATGAGGGGAAGGAAAGGACTGTGGAAAATCCACTGAACAGGAATTGACAGCAAGCGGGGCAACCTGGCACCAGCTGCCCAGGGAAGCTGTGGAAAGAAAAAAACAAAACAAAACAAAACAAAAAACCAAAATAAACCCCTGGAAGTATCCAAGGTCAGGTTGGAGGGGCTTGGAACCAGCTGGGACAGGGAGAGTGTCCCTGCCATGGCAGGGAGGGAGGGGCTGGCAGTGGAAGGTCCTCGAGGGACTCAGGAATTCTCTGAAGCTCAAACTGCTGGGAGGGTCAGACACTGCCCAGGGGCACCCAGCAGCTGCAGCTGGGGGGAAACTCTGCTTTTTTGTGTGTGCTTGTCACCTGAAAGAGGTGCAGGATGGAATGGATGAGATGAAGAGAGAAAAGAAAGTGAGACAAGAAGAAACAAAAGACAAGAGAGACTAAAAGAGGCAAAGCAAAGAGGAAATAAAGGAAAAGAGGGGAGAGAGGTGAAGAGGAGAAAGAAGGGGACAAGGATGGGCAAGAGAGAAGGAGAGAGAGGCACAAAGAGGGGGAAAAGGGGGTGAGAGGCAGAGGAACAGGGAGAGACCCTCACAAAGACAACACAAAACAAAACAAAAAAATAACACAACACCAAAGAAAGACAGGAGCCAAAGAAGCAACAAAAAATCTTTATTACAGCTTTAGTGAATAATTTTCTTTTCAGTTACACTTCCTCAAATATATTTCTGTACAGCTTAGCCAAGAGAATACAATATTACATCCATTTCAATGCAGACTGATGCAAAACCAAGGACCACTCTACAAAACATCCTTGGACAAAAGTCTGTGCAAGTACAGGGCTTTAGAATGCAATATAGATGACAGAACAAACAACATGACCCTATACAATTTCAATCTCTCAAAATCCCAATTACTTTAAATACACATAAATACGATACAAATACAAACAAATAAATACAATACAAAACAAGTATATAAGGCAAAACCACGGTGTCTATACAAGTACAGGGCATTCAAATGCAATAAAACTACAGAATAAAATAAAATAAAAAAAAAAAACAAAAAAACAAACAAACAAACAAAAAAAAAAAAAAAAAAACCACAAAGTTGTGCAATTCCTGACCAACACGGGGTCATACAAAACTACAGAACACAACATAAGCACAATCATAACCCAAATCCAAAATCCTAACACTAACCCCAAACCCTAATCCCTAAATAAAATCCCCAAACCCTGACCTTAAACTAACCCTTAGCCCTAAGCCCTAATCCTAACCAGAGCCCCAAAGGAGAGCCCTCCCTTCCTCCCTGACCCAAACGCTGACCCCAGAGCCGACCCCAAACCCCGAGGCGCCCCCGTTGTTGTTCCTGCCTGCAGTACCGCCTTTAACCGCCAGGTGACACCAGCGAGTAGCTGGAGCCACTGCGCATGCGCGCCTTCCTCGGGCGGGTGGCTGCAATACCGGCATTGGTCACCAGGCGGCGGCAGCGACTCAAAATCCCCAACTCTTCGGTGTTGGGGTCGTTCCAGTGGCACAAACACCGAACACCGGGAGATTGGTGTTTCCTCGTGTAGGTCACCTCTTCTGGCATCTTCAAGCCACATCTCAAGTTATATTTGCATTTGAAAGCCCTATCATTCTACATTTCTTATATTCTAAAATGCCGTATTTGATATAGCAGATACGGGGGGGTTATTTTTAAATCGATTTTTATATAAAGCAACATTACTTGTCAATAGATATAAAAATGACAAACTTTGCCGTTTCAGTATTTTTCGCACACCCTCCCTATGAATTTTCAGGCACTTTGGGGCTGTAACTTCCCTTTTTGGGGAGCCCCAGCTGACCGCCCGTGATCTCCCATCCATCGCCACCGCAGCATCGCTTTCTCATTGGGATGCCCCAATGACGTCATCACCCCCGCAGACTCCAACTCCCGGCAGCCACCGCGCGGGCCCTCGCCATGCGCTTCCTGTCCCTTTACGTCATCACTGTGCGCCGCGGGCGGGCCGTGCCGCCGCCATGGTGCAGCTCGGTGAGTGCGGCGGGCTCGGAGCGGCGCTGCCCGGTCCTGCCCTGCCCGGCCGTGACCGCCCCGCGCTTTCTCCGCAGGGAGCTGCCTCCTGAGGGGCCGCGGCGGCCACGTCGTCATCCGCTTCGCGCTGGGGGGCTGCACCAACCGGCCGTTCTTCCGCATCGTGGCGGCCAATAGCAGGCGCGCCCGCGACGGGAAGTACCTGGAGCAGCTCGGCTGCCTTGACCCGCTGCCCAACGCGCACGGCGAGAAGGTGGCGGGGCTCAACCTGGAGCGGCTGCGGTACTGGCTGGGCTGCGGCGCGCACCTGTCCCGGCCCGCCGAGAAGCTCCTGGGTAGGCCTGGGGCGGGCGCCAGGGTTGGGGGGCGGGCGCCAGGGTTGGGGGGCGGGGGGGCCCCGGTTCGCTCCTGCTCTCACCGCGTCTCACCGGGCAGGGCTGGCGGGGTTTCTGCCGCTCCACCCCATGACGGTGACCGCCGCCGAGAGGCTGCGCCGGCGACGACAACGCGAGCAGCAGCCCGAGACTGCTCCTGCGGACACCTCGGCTGAGCCCGGCACCGACACCGCGCCCTGACACGGCCCGGCCGGGAGGGGCTCGAGCGGCCCGGGACTGGCACCGGCCCGGGACTGCACCGGCCCCGAGGACTCCTCATGCTCTGTCAGTGCATCTGACCCATTAAAATGTTACCTCTACACTCTACACCGTCCATCTGCTGCTTTCTCCAGACTCTTGTCAATCAGAGTTCACTGTTGCCAAATTTGGTGCATAAAAGAGGTTTCGCTGCTCTAATGCAGGTACAGGACCATTCCAGAAGGCATCTACAACGTTTCCTGGCCATGCCATTGGCTCCAGGTGCTCTGCCTGCAGTGGTGGCATGGCCTCTGCCAGCTGCCATTGGCCTGCTCCATTCGTCAAGTGTTTTGACTCCTGGCTGTGATTTACTGTAACAGAGCAGTCTAATGGTTCAAGGGAGGCCTGGCAGTGACAAATGCAAATGGAACTGCAGCTGGTTTCTCTTTACCTTCCCCAGAGAGGTTCTGGGCCTGTTTGTTCATTTAAAAGCCAAATAGAAAGATTTCAGTCTCATGTAAAGAGGGACAAGGGAAGTGAGCTATGAGTCTACTGTTTAATCACATATTTGATCCTGTTCTAAGAGTCAAAAAACCCACCAAAGTCTCTCTCCTACTTCAGATGTACCCTTAAGCTTTTTGGGGTTTCCTTTGGTGCAACTCTTAGATGATTCTACAACTATCAGGTAAAGATAGGTTTCCAGTGTTGCATCTCAATAAAACTGGTAGTGTAGCCAGCCCAACAGAGGATGAGTTGACAAAATACTTTAAGAAAAGGGCCTGGCTTGCTTTCACAATACTGAGAAAGAATGGTTTTATTTCTGCTCATGGATGAAAGATTAGGTGATTAAAAAGCTGTTCTTGGAAGTGACTGAGGCTATGGAAAGTGGTATTGCTTTTCTATTACACCTCCCTCTTCTATGCATTTGATATGTTCAGCATCACATTTTCTATAAAATGGGAGGTGCACTCTGGTGCACTGGTTTCTAGGAAATTCCTCTCTAGCTTACTCCAGATTTCCTTTCCTTGCTCCAAGGGGAAGCTTTGCATCAGCAGTGTTTTTCTTACCATAATCCAAAGGTACCACACAGCTCTTCCTTGCTGGAGCTTTCCCCTTTGAACACAATGTCTGTCTGTAATGTTTCTCTTAAGACAATTTGGAGCTCTGGCTTTGGGCCCAGTTTAAAAATGCAGACAAACAAAACAAATCCCACACAACACCTCAACTTTACCTTGTTATTAAAGAAAGCATCCCACAGTCATCCACAAGGCAGTAAAAGAGTTGTTTTCATGCCCTTTCCCATGCTAAGAGCTCTGGGGCTGCTCTGCAGTGCAGGGGGTGAGGGACTATTGACACTGCACACTACTTTTGCATGACACAGTGGTAACAGGAGGTAAATGAAAGAAGTTCTAAGAGGAGAGTCTGGCAGTGCCTCACCTAACTCTTTCATTATTCCATGGAAGTACTGGGTCTGTCTCTTACGGACCAAATTAATAACTTTTTCCAGATGTATAAACTGTTCCATGTAGGTCAGAACAGTTTGTGCAGCAGTGCACAGCCTCTGGGCCCCTGGAAAGCCAGCCTGCTGTGGAAGCAGTGGGGTTCTGTGCACGTACAGGACACAACAGCTCAAGCTTAAAAAAAAAAAAAAACAAAAACCAGGCATGCTGAGCATATAAAGCATAATTCTAAGCTGCTGTGATGCTGACAGCAGATGAAGGCTGAGAACAAATTACAGTGAACATTTCTAGTACTGTGCAAATGGTGAGAGGTGCAGGGCTGGGAAAAAGGGTGTGCCTGAGACCTCCTGGAATTTGGTAGAGAAAACCAGGAGCTGGTAGTTGTGAGCACTGAATGCCATTTACACTTTGGACTGAACATGCTTTTCAGAAGATTATTTGATACTTTTCTCTGGAGCCATGAAGAGCCCCTGTTGCTTAGGGGGCTGTGAATAATAATGGAGTGTATAGGCACGTAGGTTCAAGGGTGTGTTGCTGTAAACACTTCACTAAATACTTCACAGCAAGAGCTTGGGCAAAAGGAGCAAACATTTTCCTTTCTTGGTAGAAAGAAGCATTGTTCTGACTCAGTTGTATTCATCCCCTCTTCCCAAAGAGTTGTGTGGGCTTAAAAAAAAAACTGTAGTAAATTAAAAATAACTGAAAGGAATAAGCATAAAGCAGAAGCAGAGTAGGTTATCATCAGGCTGGCACACAGCAAAAGCCAGGCTTGAAAGCCACGGGTGAAGCTCAAACCTCCAGCACAGTAATTCTTTACAGCACTGACAGTAATACTGTCACATTCCTCATGTTTAAGTAGCTCTCATAAGCTTGGTTAGCACTGTACTCACACAACCCAAAATCTTCATTTCTGCTCTGATGCTGTGATTTCCTCTGCTGGCTGTTCCACTGGCTATTGCAACAAGATTTGTTATCCTTTTTTGAGAGAAAGCTATCACTGGATCCTAGAAAAAGCAAGAACAAAACAGACAAACAAGCTTACATACATGGCTGATAATGCATCACCCCCATTGCAGACTCTCCCCAGCCTGCAGACTGCTACTCTGGGCATATCTTGCATTTGAATTCATCTCATTAAATTCCTCATTGCCTACTTTCTTCCTGCTCCCCAGACTTCCATGTTCCACACAGGATGAAGCAATCCCTCCCTTTGTTTACTGTTAACCCTCTTTGGGTCTTGGACTGTGCTGTTGCCTTACAGATCTGAAGAGAACCTGGCCACCACCGTGGCTGGGGGCATTGGGCAGCAAGCTGCACTCACCCAGAATTCTCATTATTCCATGCATTTACCATTTCTGCATGAGATATATGAGAGAGAATGTGTTGACAAGGCTTTTAATATTAAAAACTTCTTGTACAGTGTAGAACACTGTCTCCCCAACCCTTCAAACACAGCAAGGATTGCAATACCAATTAAGGATTCTAGTAAAACACCTCCAGCCAGTCCCAGTGCTGCTGCCCTGCAGCTTTTGCTGCTGTCTTGCGTGTTGGAACCTGAAATTTGTCAACTGACCCTACTACAGGAGCAGCAGCCTGGGGCACAGGAACAGCCATTTCCCAGTGAACATCCACAAAAACCTCCCCTGCAAAAAAGCTGGGCTAAATGAATGATTATGAAATAACAACCAAATAGACATTTGGAAATGTCTATTTAGACAAACAGATGCTGGAGATTTTCCTTGGCATTTCAGCCCCTGGTACTCAAAGAGTTCTCAATATGTGTACTGGACTTATGCAATCCATTGGGTGTTGATATGATAATGGTATCTAAAAGTTTCTGCTCTCTCCTGAGGCTCTCTTCTTGTCTGAGGGAGAACATACATTTAGAAAACTACCTTTTAAACAAATTCTTTTTTTAATGAAGTGTATCTCCTATAGAGTGCAAGATGCTTAATTACTCATTTGTAGAAAATAAATTGACTAGAGAACTCTTAAATACTTCCCAATATAGTTTATATATACATAGATACATACTATATTTGTATATATAAATTTTATTTTCTTTGATTCTTGAAAAGACTTATTTTTCCAACCAAATAACAGCAGTTCTGAAATCATGAGGTTGTCTTGCTGAATGACACAGCAGAGGCTGAGGGAGCTGCAGACATGCTGAAATGGTTACAGGTATCTTAATTACAAACACGTGAAAACTGGTTAGGTCTTTTCTCCATCCCTCCCCATTTTCCCTGCTTCTGTACATATGTAATAAATACATTTACAAACATCCACAAATAATTGCCATGAAGCAACCTTTAATGATATGGACTTAATCAAAATTAACCTTTAGGCATCATTGAAAAACAGCACAGAGTAAAATAATTTTCCTGCCTAAACTCATGCATCTTTTTTTTTAACCAGTAACTTGCAAATTTAGACAGAATATTTGAAGCCTTTGGATTCCAGAAGGGAAACATCACGTTGCAGTTCACAGTTCACCAGTGACCATATACAGTAATTTCTGTAAAATACAAAATGTTTGACAAAGGAAGAGAGAAAGCAAGAAAGCAATGCCTCTTTTAAAAGTTACTTCTAAGGATTTGGTGCAATTTCCAACTCTGCATGATGGTGACAGGCTCTGTTTTGTTTTTTTTCCAGACACCACTAGTATTGCTCAAAGCCCCAAATCAACACACACTGATGTTGACTTAAAAGTACTGTGTACGTACCACTACATAAATACATATGCAAAATAAAGTCCATATCCCATAAAATAGAAAAATGTAATATAGAGTCTATTGGGCAAGGCATACAGGCATAGCAATAGTTTTATAATTGCATAAATGTAATTGATATTTACAGATGGAAATGGAGACAAACATTATCATCAAATACATTGATTTTTTAAATTTTTTGAAGATTTTCACTTGCAACAAAATGATCTGCAACTCCAGCTACCTGGAAAAGTAAAGTGCTCACAATCCATTTAGTGCAATAATGCTGGCTACAAAACTTAAGAGGAGGAAAAAAAAATTAAGAACTAATATCACATTAGCTAGTGGGACCAAACAAAAAATAAAATAAATTTTGAGTTTAAAAGTTTGAGAAGATAAGGAAGAGAAATTAAGATTACAAAGCAGACTAACAAGAAAAGAATAATTCTCCAAAGTCAAGTCTTTAGATTGTCAGAAATTAGAAGTGCCAAATGTAGCTTCTCATGCTATTTTGTCCCAGCTTTGTCCTGAACATTCTTGGAGACATCTGTCCTATAATCAAGGAAATGGCACAGATATTCCTGCAGATATGACACCATGTAAGCCCAAAGAAATGAAAGATGAATGTACTCATCAGCCTGAAAGGTCCTTTATCTCTGAGTGCTTGACTTCATAATTTCAGCAGTATTCCTCTGTTTAAGTCAATACTGAGTAATATGAAACTTGCTTCTAAAATGTAATAATTGGGAGCAGATGATAAAAATGAGATGTTCTTACAAGTTATGTATTAATTATGCTTTCAGCACTGGATTACAGTAAACCACAACAACTAAAGATTATACATATTACTTCACCTTGGCATCATAGATCAGCATAAATTTAGGTGAACAGTGAAGTACAACCCATTTTAAATGAGTGACTCTCCAGAGAAAACCCTTCTGGGTCTAGGAGCAAATATAATCTCTGCAGGGATGCCATGCACAGCACATGTGGACACCAAAATGCCCACCAGCCTTGGTAAAACTTGGCTGCCTGCCCAAACACAGAGGCAGACTGACAGGGGCTTTAGAAATAGTTTTATTAATGTGACTTAAAATTGACTTCTGGCCTTAACTAGAACTTGTAAAAATTCTCACATACTACCTTCTAAAATCAGAATAATTCAGAAATTTCTCAGATAATGAAACCCAGAGCCCTTTTACTGGTTTCACTGAGATGTGGAAAATGCAGCTCTAATTGACAAGCACTTAGTCACTGATCTCCAGACTTCAGAATGTCCCCAGGTAAAACTGTATAAACAAGAATAATGTGATGCAGGCTTCCATACCAATTATTTTTCTCATAAGTTCTTGAGAATAACGTTCTGCCCAAGGGAGGTTGATGGGAAAAGACCTTTCTCCCCAAAACTGGGTTATGGATAACTGCTAAACTGAATTATGGTCAAACCCTCCTGCTAAGTCATCACAAACCCCTGTAGTCTTAATTAAACTCTAATGAAGAAGGAAATACACACATATTGGCAAACATCACCAAGGACACAGCCAGGACCTCCACAGTGGGGTGTGGGACCCAGGCCACAGCACTTTCAGCCCACAGTGATGTCTTGTAGCAGTTCTGCTGGTGGGAGCTCTGTGCACCCAGAAGCCCATGGCACTTGACAGAGGACTTACACCACCCAAGCAAGACCAGTTAATCCCAGCCTTCCCAAAGTTCTGAAAAACACCCTCCAGAGCCAGGCCTTCCACTGGCAGAGGCTGTAGGCTGGACCTGCAGCTCCCAAAGGCCTCACAGGAATCTCCACTGGCCTTGCCGACCAAATCTGCTCTGCCTGGCCAGGAGGTGGCTCCTTCTGCCCTCAAACTGTCACCAATCCCACGGTGGCAGTCCTCTGCAGCAGTGGGTGCAGCCTAGCAGCTCACTGCCACTCGAGACTGAGGTTGTCCTGCCCAGGCACCAGACTTCCAGGTCTCCTGCCTCACGCTGGACAATGCCAGTCATCTCCCGGGATGACAGCACCACGAGGCAGCTGGAGGGAATGGCTCCACCATTTCCTGCTGCTGTGGCCCCAGGGGCACAGACAGGCCTCTGCCACCTCAGGGGAAGGACGAGCAGTGCCAGGCGCTGCTGACTCACCCTCACCTTCCCACAGGCAGGGGAAAGCTCAGCAGAGCCAGCACAGACCTTTCTTTCCGTTTGCCAAGCCCACTGCTGCCATGCCGGGGGCGCACAGCCCGTCCTGTCACAACAGAGAGGCCAAGGGTGACACAATGAGGCAGCAGAGGCTGTGGCAGCTTCTCCCATTTATTCGTTCCGTGCACGGGGCAGGAGCGGGCGCTGCTCCTCAGCAGGTGGCAGCTCCTCGGTGGGCAGCAGCTCGTAGGTGACACAGAGGGAGGAGAAGAGGCAGCCCAGGAAGGACACCAGGCAGGAGAAGTACATGGCACTGCTGGCACTGCCAACAGCCGCCGTCAGCGGCCCCATGGCCAGGGCCACGAGGATCTGCGCCAGGAAGTACTGGCAGCTCAGCAAGGAAATGTCAACGCCCATCCCACGCCGCGTGCCCTCCGCCTGCGAGCCTACGAACTGCAGGGACACAGCCACAGAGTAAGGGAGTGTCCCGGGGGCTCCTGTCCCCTCCCCAGCCCGGGGCTCACCTCTCGGCTCTGGTAGTAGTCGCAGAGCAGGGAGTAGGGCAGCGTGCAGAGCGTGGCGAACAGAATGCCGTAGGTAGCACACAGGGACAGCAGCACGTAGACATTCCTGGAGAGTGTGGCCAGGCCCGTGCCCAGCCCAAAGGCCAAATATGCCACAAAGTACAGTGTCCGTGTGCTAAAGCGCTCCTCCAGCTTCTCCAGCATGGCTGCAACAAAATGGGACAGCTTTCGGGGTGAACTGCAGCCCTCCCACTGTCACTGGTCAGTGGGGCTGAGGGGTCCACCTTTGGCAGCCACCTTTGGTTAGGCAGCCACATCTCAGTGGCAGCCACTACACCTCTGAGGAATCGGTGACTTGATATTAGTGCCAGGGAACCCTTCCAAATCTGGCTGCCATGATGCAGCATTGCTGCCCTATCTACCATGGCAGAGCTGAAGCCTGGCAGTGCCCCTGTCCCACAGGGGTCAATGGGAACAGGTGGGGGTGGGCAGCAGAGGCATGACATGCACGGCAAACTGCTGGAGTGGCACATGACACCTGAGTGCTCTGTCTGGGACACACAGGCACCAGGTAGTGCTGCACCAGAACTGTGCCTATGGTGACTGCATGTATCTCTGCATTCAACGTACACTGAAAATGCCACTTGTGAAAGGAACCACATCCTAAGAGAGATGTGTCTTCACTGGATTGCTGACCTCACCTGCTGACAGTGCAGGCCAAGCTAAGTAGCAGGAATAGGGTGAAAAAGAACACTCTGCCACAGCACTTGTGCCATGTGGTAGGCTGAATGCAACATAAACACAAGCCTACTTGTTGCAGAAACACCACTTTTAAGAAATGTTTCTTTTCCCAAAGCAGTAGTTAAGAGGGCTGTACCAAGTACCTGAATAGAAAGCAGCACTGAATGCATAGATGCACATTCCCCAGCAGCCCATGGTGACCCCAGTGTTGTACTTCTGATACTCATCTGAGTTGTGAGGTGCTTTGGGGTTCCCTTGGAACACTACTTCTCCCATGAAGTCAGTATAGAAGAGTAACATCCCCTCAAATGAAAGCCACCCTGAAAGAAGCGAGAAGTAACCTATTAGGATTTCAGAATACCTGTTTCCCCTTGTAAGCTTACATGGATGTTATCAGCTATATTACAAATCACACCCTAGGACAGGTTGTGCAACCTGAGTGTTACATAACACTCAGCCACATTTATCTGAGACCGCTGCTCCCATGCATAATGCTGCAATGTTTGTTAAAGACATTCAGGCTTTTAAAGACCAAGATTTACCATTTGAATTCCTGAGTGGAAACCTCAAGGCTGACTAAAGGCCACAGAATACTGGTTTAACAAGACAGAAAAATAGGTGACAGCAGTCTGAGCTGTCTTCAGGTTCTGACAGGACACAGTGCTCAGTTTAACAGAGTGGCTCATCCCATAGTAATTTCAGGTTGCTGTTATCCTCCCACGTAGGACTGGAAGGAGTGCTTCTTTTGTCATGGTTGCAGTCTCCAGAATGCCTCTGACACAGTTAAGAACTCTGCTCACAAATTGGCACCAAGGCCATTGATGTAGACAATCCCTTAATTCCTTTCACAGCCAATGAGTATTAATTACCTTCTGTCCCTTCGGTCTAATTTTGTGTAAACTGGAATGGCTGCAAGCCCTTCCTAAACACCAGTCACACACTGGTTAAGAGTAAAGGTAACACTATACTGGTTAAAGGCACTCCTGCAATGTTCCACATCTCTTGGCCTGTTCTGGGAGCCCTGTACATGAGCAGTCAGAGGCAGGAAAGTAAATGCCAGTCTCAGGGTGTAAGCATAGAAATACAACTAATCTCATCTTTCTGCTTGGTGTGAACATTCCACTTAAGATGTGCTGATTTAGGCTGTTGTTGTTGCCTTCCTAGGAATACAGACTTTACTGCTCTGCTGGCGTGTTTTGGTTATTTTTTTTCTTTTCTAAGTGTTCTAAGAAGGTAACTCATTGATATCTATATAGAAGAAGTCAAGTTGTCTCTAGTTAGCAGCCATTGCAGCAATAGATAAAATACTGAAAAAGGTTCACCCGAGGTAGAGTCCTTCCTGGTGAAGGCAAGAGGGTGCTTTGGGAGTACCTAGGAAGTGGTTGATGCAGAGGTTACGGAGAGCCTTGGGCATGTGGCAGATGGTGGAGCAAAGCAGCTTCACAGACAGGGGCTGCTCCGAGGTCTCGCCCGATTCGTTCAGCTCGCTCTCATACTTCACACCATTCAGCAGGATATTAGCAACCTGCACCATAAGAACTGCCAGGTCAACAAGCACAGTAAGGGCAGCACAAACATCCTTTAAGCAGATGTATGCAATATTGCACACCTATCTGATCATCTGAAAGTTAAACTCTGCTGCTGGAGTATGTTTGACTTGGAGATTAAGAAGTGTATTAGACTGGAAGAAGTGATAAATGGCAGCACTGCACTGTAGCTTTCAGTATGTTTGAACCAGTTCTCTTCCCTTCATTAGGGTACTTGGTAACCACATTCAGATGCACAGGCACAGCAGGAATGCATAAGTTCCACTGCATTTATAGGAGCTGTACCCACTTTCAGCTGAATGTGGATCCTGAAGTTTTAGAGACACTGAGGAAGAAGAGGATGAGTTTAATTGAAACACATTATCACTGCTTGCTAACCTCAATGCTCAACCTCAGTGTGCCCAGTATGTAAAATCCTGGCCCTAACAAAGTCTGCTCTCACAAACTGGGTCAAAGTACAGCAACAACAAACAAAACAAACAAAAATCCACCACCCCCAAAAATTTAAAATAAAATAAAAAATCCCCAAACCAAACAAAATAAAATAACAGAGGACCGTTTACCTCATCCCAGATCATAAAAAAATGGGTCAGCATGCAGAGGTCTCAGACATTCCAAGTTATCACCAACAGTGGGAGGTGAGGTCAGAGTCTTATCCCTCAGTAAGGGAAAGCTCACCTCCCTGATGGAGCCAGATGTAATGACTGCCATAAGGAGAAGCTCATGGGAGAATCCTATCCCTGGCCCTATTTTGCAGGTCTTTCTGTGGAAAGGGAAGATACAGGCTCAATAAAAATGTGACCTTTTCTGTTCTCATGTGGTAGCTCCCTTGGTAGTGAAGCAAGACTAAAAATACTGACCTAACTCTCACAACTGGCCCAGTTAAGAGTGGGACATTCCCATTTCTGCCATCTTAACAAAGGCAGCTGACAGGCTGTCAGACAGAATTCACACTCTACCCACTACTTTACTGACAGAGTCATAGCAGGTGTGCTGTTCACATAATGACTTTTATGAGGAAGCTGTCACAAGAATCTTCAATTTATGCACCACACATTTAAAACTATATGAAGAGATTAATCACACTCATGTTTACATGGTCATATCATTGATTTCCTGCTCTTACCTGTTGGCTGAAGGTTACATTTCTTCTTCTGTTATTCTCTGGGCAGTGTCCTGTTACAGCATCTGGAATGGCCAAGGTCTGAGGTCTTTTCAAGATCCCTGATGACCGTGGCTTTATTGCATCCAGTGAACCCACTCTCAGCACATCACTATCAGGCCCTGATGTTAAGCTGCTCTCCCCTTGCTCCAGAATTCCATTTGCTCCATGGTAACAGCCATCAGGCACCCGAGGAAAGCTGACACTGACAGGCTGCCTGGACAAACTAGCTGGAAGTGTCATGTAACTATTATGCCCTCCTGTAAAACAGTCTATAAGCACACTGTCAATATTTGAAGTCCCAAAGGATGATGCAAACTCATTAATTCCCGTCAAAGAATTGTCTCTGCTGATAAAACTCCCGTATTTTGGCGTGAGTGGGCTCATGGGGGAAACAGGACTCGTAAAACTTGCATGTAAGTGAGCTGAGTTATGAGAAGCAGAGTTTTCATTTACACTTTCCTCAAAGAAGAAAGGTGGAGAAGGAGGGAGAGGAAGACTTGGACTTTTCATCACCTTTTTCTTCCTGTTAGAGGACTTTAAGGGTCTCTCTGGAATGCTAACTAGAGTCAGCACAGTAGCAATAGTCAGTACAACTGAGGTGAAGACATAGATGACACGAAGTTGCCCTCCTACAGCTTTTCCAAAACTGGTTTTATCCCAGTGTATTCCTCCAACAACATAACCAAAGCCACCTCCAAGACCTGGTGGAAAAACAGAGCTAGGATTATCTTCCCTATCCAGTCCCACAAGTCAGTAGCAGCACAGCATCACTTGCTTAATGAATCATGAGTAGAATCTGACATTCCTGTTTTAGCATTTGACCCCTTTTCACTTCAAATGCACTAAGAAACACAGCTGTGCCAGAAGGACAGTCTGCATGTACCAACACGGTACAGAAAGAGGGAGAAAGTGCTGTGAAAGTGATGATACAAATCATTAAAAATTATAATTTTTCTTTGCCAAGAACAAAACACCTTACCTTTAGCTATTTCAGTCCGTAAACAGAAGTGTCCACCAGCCTTGTGACAAGGCTCTGCAATCATTCAGCTAAGACTGTTTTCCTGAAAGTGAAAATCCATTTTCCTCATATGAGGAATGTAGATCTAACTAAGACAGATCCAATCACTTCAGAAGCGAAGCAAGCTCATTACTCAGCATTGTGTTGACAGTGCACAAAACTGACACTGTGTTACTACTGATGAACAGGGGAGTTTTGAGAGCACCTCTCTCTCTCCATTCACATGGTGAAAGTCTTACAACACTCTCCTTTCTTGCTCACAAACACATTCAAGAGTGTGGAATAGTCTCCTAGAACAGGGCAGCACAGCATTTGAAGATGACAGCAGTGAGGGACCAACAGCACCCAGTATGCACTTTCGCCTCCAACAGAGCAACTACAAGACACATATTACACACCTGCAGGAAGTCAAACCTCCTCCCTTAAGGGATAATTTTGTTTCCATAGGTCTTACAAAATATGTGAGGCACCTTCAGATGAACAACCCAAGACTGTATCTTGTTTGAGTTGAGGTAGTTACAAAAACCTTTAGCAATGAGTAGATTATTCTTTACAGTTTTAAATTCTTTACAGATTTACAGTTAATTAGTGATACCTCTCAGTATTTGGTCATTGTGCTTATTCAGGAAAAGACCAGTGTTTACACCCTGCTTTCTCATAGCAGGGCTTGTTTACTCAGAGTTTACATCTCCCAGGAAGCACCAAGAAAACGTACCTGCTAACAAAGCATGGATGTTGAGGCCCCTGTCTTGATCCACTGGGCTGCACACATCCATCATATAGGCATGGCTGGGATTGTCTGCTGAATCTGCACTGAAGTCCATGAGGACAACACCACAGATTGTAAGGATGATCCCCCATTTGTGGTTATTCTCGGTGTCAGACAAGGCACTCCCTATATCTTTACCATTCAGCATAAGTGAGAGCCCAAGCAATGCTCCTGGGAATAAAACCAAAACAAAATCAGTCACGATTTGTAAGCAAGCCTGCAGAGCTGCAGACTCCAAAAGCATTATTCTACCTTGCACAGCCTTGCAGCAAGCACTATTGCTCTTGCTCATATCAATGCAGCCTGGGAAATTAGTGTGGCTTATAGGATACACATAATCCTTTTCCACTATTCGAGCTTAACAAATGTCTAGAGTTTACTCTGGCCAAAAACATCCACATTCTTGGCCCTCAAAACATCCTTTCAGACTCTGAGAAGCTTTTATGTGTGGATCTCCAGCTGCCAAAGCATCAGCTCAGTGTCTCACCATCTTCTTCAGACCCACAACACACCCAACACTTCAGGAGCATTTTTTTCTGCTTAGTGCCATAAGGGACCTCACAGAAGAGAGATGCATGACATTTTTTAAGTGTTATGCCCATCATTTCTAAAAGACACACCTACTGCTAAAACCAGAATGAAAGGTCTTCTCCTCCCAAATCTTGATGTGCATCTGTCACTCCAGGCTCCCAGCAAAGGCTGTAGCAAAAACCCTAGAAAAAATGAATCACCAGTGAGCAGGATTTTTCTACAGGCCTCTCTCACAGAGGAGTTAAAACAGGCATGCCTTAAAAGGCATTTAAGGCAAGAGACACCACAGTACAGTGACATCCCCAGTGAGCACTGGTCACCCAGGGGCACACAGTGCACACTGCCTGGCATTGCCCAGGACAGGGACTGAGTAACTGAGTAACTGTGTGCTGCTGCTCACTGCAGGGCACTTCACTCTGCATCAGTAACACAGAGTTTGACAACAGGTGAAGAGTCAGAGTATGACAACAGGTGAAGAGTCAGAGTACAAGCTCCACATTCTTAAACACTCTGTTCCTTACAAACTATTACATTTATTCCATATTAGAGGTGAGATCCCCTTTTCCAAGGATTAGCTTGGAAAACAGCAGGAAGCAAATATGCAAGTAGGAAAGTGTCTGTATTAATCTATGCTGTTGGGGGTGTCTATCTCTTCTTCTGAAGCACATGTTGTGAGTACAAGAACAGGCAGAACAAAATTTTCCAAGTGGTATCCATAGTAATGGATACACTCCCAGCCCTGCCTCTGTGCCAAGGCAAGTAATTCAATGCCTGTGGTCCTTCATCATTGGAACACCTCATTTGTTTCAGAAAGTTAAATAGGAGAAGGCAATCCCACTCTGCCTTTTTTCACACACTCTTGAAAACTGTCTCTGTATGCTTTTTTCCATGGGGACATAAATGGATACACCGATCTTCTTATGCTTGTTTTTAAATACAGGAATAGAGCAACCAAAGCTTACCCTCACACAAATTTTAAGAGGTTGAGAAGCTATTAAAAGAACAGATCTTTTGAGCACGTTGGTCTTATGTCAGGCGGGGCACAGCAAGAATTATCCTCCTGTTTGTTTGTCTAAAATTATGGCTAGGACTTCTCAACCTTGAGAAAATATACTCATGAACAGCTGAGGTACTGCAAACAAAACATGAAAAAAACTCGTACTGGGAAAAATAAGAGGGAAGAAATAGCATTAAGAAAAGTTACCTAATATAGGGCTGATGAACCACACCATTCCATACAGCTGGTCTGGAAGCCCCATCTGGAGCAGCACAGGCGTAACATAGGCTGTTTCCATGGCATAGCTGAATTCAAGCCCAAAGAGAATGCACCCATTGAAAAGGAGTTCCAAGAAAGACCTCTGGGGCTGGAGATCCCCAAAGTCAACCAGGTCAATGGGACACGGAGTGTTAGGCGGTGGCGGCGGTGAAGGCCGGATGTGTTTTCTCCTTTTCGGGTGTCTCTTGAAGTTGTTGGCCCGGTGACTTATGTGCCGTGTGGGCAGTCCAGAATAGCCTGGAACTGGTGACCTCCAGACTTCCTGAGAAGCCACACCTGACAGGAGTGCAGCATCGCTGACAGGGCTTGGTGCAGATGGTGGAATCATCATGGGTAGGGGTCTGGAAGACAAATAGCTCAGAACAAAATGGCTGAGGTAAGTAAAACTTTGCTTAATTCTTTTTTACTGAAGTTCAAGTCATTTCTCAACATTTCACATATGAAGTGTGGCCTTTGTGTTAGTTACAACTCTTCTTTCCATCTCTTGATGGAAGGCATTTGTGTTTCATGAGCACAAATGACACACCAGAGATACTGTCTAGGTTACCTAGGTATATTTGCCTATCCTCACAGGGGATTAAGATTGAAATATTTAAAACAATTAACAGTCACAGATGTCACACTTCCCAGAAGTCCCCAATGGGTCAGCAAAGGGTTTACATTTATGTAGAATTCACTTGAGTTAAACTCACTCAAGCTAAGAAAATAAATCACAGTCTCAGTCTATGTTTACAATAATGCAAAGCTGTGGCCTGGCAGCAGATTCCAGACCCCTGCTGCAACATGAAATCACTTTGGCAAAAAATCCTTTTGTACTGATCACACCACTCCTGCTGCCTGTGCTAAGGCCAAGGCTTAATGCAACATCTTTTTCTCAATAACCAAGTTTTGTTTTATTCCTATTTCCATTCCTCAATTCAGCAGAGATATCTCCACTGCAAGGACGGGGTCTGATCCTTAGGGACTGAATCCTGAGAAGAAGATACATACCCCACAAGCCACCCTCAGAACTGCTACTCCTCTTTCAGTGCTTAATGGTACCCAAGTGCTGAATAGGCTCCTTGGATCTCATCAGAATCTCTCCTGTAGCCAAAGCGTGCAGAGTGTGGTGGGTAAAACAGCCAAATGGTTTCCAAAATAGCACATCAGATAGATGCCAACGGATCTGCTGCATAAACGAACCACATGTGATTTCTTGATTCTTTTTGCCAGAAATGGAAACAGCTCATGAGTGAAGTTTGACCTTTTCTTTATGCCTCTTTGCCCACAAACCAAAGTTGCTGCTGCACAAGAACGGCGCCACATCACCCCATCCCTCTTCAGAAAACCCTCACAACTGCACACTAGTGAGTAAAACAAGTCTCTTACTTTTGTGATTACAGTTCCTCTGGGGAAAAAGCTCCCAGCTCTTCTACTCTTTGGTTGTACAGCACTCCCCTAAATCTCATGTTTTCTACTTCTTCATCTGGTGCATTTCATACACTAGTCTTTCTTTCTGTAGCCTTTAGTCTACACAAAGCCACAATTTATTGCATATCCCCAACTATTACCAAAAGCAGGACTCCATAAGCCCATGTTTACCATCTTGCTAACCCCAGTATTGTTAAGCATGGTGAAGGATGCCTACACGGACCAGTTCCCAGCTCCATGCAGGGATCCAGAGACACGAGACAACACAAAACTGACTGCCAAGCACCTCACAGAAGATTGCAGTTGGAGTAACTTGAGTGCATTTGGGGGCCAGGGAGGATAAGGAAGAATGAGAGTGAGATGACATCTATTGAAATATTGCTAACATTGTATCAAGGGTTTCCTCGAGATTGCTTCTCCTCCAAGGTGTATATCATGTAAGAGAGAAGAACAAGCAATTCATAATCCCAGCTGCACATCTTGACAACCTTCACCTCACACAGTACCAACAGCAAGCTGCATCTTCCTGGGAAAGTTCATTAGCTACAAAGTCCCATACAAGGACCAGTAGAAAGAGAAGTACACGGAGACTTGGTGAAGACATCTGCACCAGTGTTCCCCTTGACACTGTTTCTGCAAATTACTGAAAACTTCTTATGACCCATGTCTCTCACAGGCAGAGTACTTACTTTGCAGAGTACCTTTACCAGCCTCCAGGAAAAAGTAATTTCCTCACAATGAGAACTTGTTAAAAATGAGGAGATACCTGAAAGAAGACATAATGAAAACCCAATCAGTTTCACGATAGTTGGTCTAACATCCCTTTCACGGAGCCATGACAATGAAGAGGAGCTAGCAGCCCCCTTCACTTCTCTTGTACCTTGACCATTTGCACAGAGGGTGTTATCTCCTTATCTTCATCCATTAGTTTCATTTCATACTAGATCCTCCTTTATCTTCTTGCTCTTTACCGTGTATTGCAAAGTAATTGCATTCCAAGTCATAAGTGCCAATGTTTTAGTGATATAAGGAAAGAACCCCTATGCATGGCTCAAATATACACGTGGTGACCTGCAATTACTTGAAATGAAAGGCTAATATTGACATCATGTCACTGGTCCAGCAGAAAATCAGTGTAAAACGGAACTATATCCTTAATCCCCCATTTTCCTCAACTTATTGGTTGTTCACAGGAAGCCATCTCAAACCTGCCCTCGGGTAAATCTAGGTGGTGATCACAACAGCGGCGAGGCAGGAAACCTCTCCCGTAGTGTGGCAGCTAGCCCTCAGTGTCAATAGTTATTTGGGATTTTTGGCACTCGACGTCCGTTATACCAAGAGCTGCACATCACAATCTGGAAGGTGATGCTGGCTCTGCCGGCTGCTATCCGCACAAACGTGTGTGCACAGCTATGTGCTCGGCAGGCAGGGCCGCCCACCCTCACCGCTCCTCCTGGGCACCGCTACGCCGAAAATAACTCTTTACTTTGCTGGCAGAATCTGGTTTATTTTTTCTGCGTCGGGTACCGAGGGCTCCAAAAACCCCACAGTCATGGGCTCCGCGGGGGAAGGCCGGCCCTGACCCTGGTGCTGACCCGGCCGCCGCCTGCCCATCCTTTGTGCCGGCCGGGCGGGAGCCGTGGGGCGGGGCCGCCAACCCCTCACGGCCCCTCACGGCCCCTCACGGCCCCGGGCCTCGCGTCCGCCCCGGCCGCCAGCGCGCAGCCACCCCCGCGCCCCCGGCCCGGCCTCACCTGCCCAGCCCAGCCCGGTTCGGCCCGGCCCGGCCCGGCCCGCACTGCGCCGCGCCGTGACGCCACCGGCCCCGCCCCGCCCCGCCATTCGCCGCCGGCAGCGGCAGAGCCGCCCCCGCACCCGAGAACCGCGGGAGGGCCCCGGGCCCGCACCGCCCCCGCACCGCCCCGGGAGAGCCCCCGAGCGGGGCTGCGGGAGGAACCGGCCCGGAGCATTCCCTCCTTCCTCACGGCAGTACTCACCGCCCCCGGAGAGCCCCCGAGCGGGGCTGCGGGAGGAACAGGCACGGAGCAGTGTCCCCACATTCACGGCAGTACTCACCGCCCCCGGAGAGCCCCCGAGCGGGGCTGCGGGAGGAACCGGGCCGGAGCAGTGTCCCCGTGCTCACGGCAGTACTCACCGCCCCCGGAGAGCCCCCGAGCGGGGCTGCGGGAGCAGCCGGGCCGGAGCAGTGTCCCCGTGCTCACGGCAGTCCTCACCGCCCCGCGGTGTCGGTGCAGTCGCTCTCGCCCCGGACAGATGCGGCTGCCGGGCTCTCATTCCCAAATTGGCACTGGTGAGGCGGATCGTGATAGTCAGATTTTCAGGGCGCAGAGATATTTTTTGATAGGCTTGTAGAGCAGATGCCATAGAACATGCTGCACTTTTCTATTTAACAGTCCTCCCTAGGCTAAAGAAATGAGGCAGTTTTATTGTACAGTATTTTATAGTTTCTATATTTTGGGCGCCTAGATTTACCCGAGGGCAGATTTGAGATGTCTTCCTGTGAACAAGCAGTAAGTTGAGGAAAATACGAAATTAAGGATATAGTTCAGTTTTACACTGATTTTCTGCTGGACCAAAATTTCCTCATGGTTTCCAAAGATGTAATTATGTAGTGCAGTCTGCTGTACTTTAAAAATAAAACTTAAAATTCAGAGCCTTAATCATTAAACATTCTTAATTTTATCCTCAGAGGTTACCATAACACTGCAAGAATCCCTAGCATATATTAATATTTAGGTCTTGTAGAATTTATTGTAGCAGGAAGGTGGCACATAAATCACTAGTCATAGTAGGAATAAAAGGAATTGTGCCATTTGTCTGTAGAAAACCAGCTCTAATTCGTGCGATAGAGGGTGCAATCACATTTGGAAAAGATGCCAAAGAGCACTGTCTGAGGCAAGTAGGGTTCAGCTAGGGGACAAGCTCATATAGACTGACAAGAAATCGTGAGAAATTGGGATAATCTTGCAGCACACAAGGACAGGCACAAGAGATCACTGCACATTCTTATTGCCATGGATTTCCTGCCACCTGATCTGTGTTGTTCATCTTTTTTATGTCAGTTTGGCAATGATATTGGTGAAGTATTCTTCATCAGTGTTTATGTAATTAAACAGCAGTGTAAGGCCCTGTGTACAGCACTTAGGGTTATTGACTCACAGCATGATTTTCACAGGGCACAAAGGGTTTTGTACTTGTCCAAATGAAAAGTGGGACTGGGCTCCTCACCTATCCTCAAATGTTCTTCCTCAAAAGCCACAACCCAAACAGCACATCCACAGTCCCAGCAAAACTCTTCCCTTCGCTGCTTTCTAAGACAGGGCTCTCTGTAAGCACAGGTTCCTAAGCTGACCCTAAGGCATGTGCCTGATTATTCCAGATTAGGTGAAACTGAGCAAGAAATTTGCCATGCACTGGCAGTGTTGCACTGTTGTTTTCAGCAATTTGATTCAGTGCACCTTCTCCCCTGTCAAAATGCTCATACAAGATAAACTAAACTGAGATGAGAGAGTCAATCCAATGTCATAGATGTCATATTTGAGTAATGGAATAATCTCAAAAATACACCTGTTTGCCCCAAACAACATGTGTTACATACCAGACACCAGAGCCAGCTTCTATTGAGGATGCTACAGGTTCCCCATTTTGACATACATTCCATCTCCAGTCCTCCTGGCAGATTTGAAGCTATTTTGGTACTGGGATATCCCTCACCTGTCTGTGCTCAGCCTTTCCTTTTGCCTCCCCAGATATGAAGCTTCTGGGTCTCCACCAACCCAGCCTTGCCACACTTCTCAGTGCTGATCCACATGGCTGTGGCCACAACAGGATGCTATGTCTGCACCCAGGTCTCATCCACAATATCCATAATATTCACTACTCCATTTGCTGCCTATTGAGAGAACAAACT